TTGCCAGGGCCGAGCGATTGCCGTCCCAAATCCTGAACCGCACCCCATCCATGGATTCATATTCACCATAAAGATTCGTTGGTTTTAATGCAAACAAAAGGCTAGCACAAATGTCATATTTTACGGCCCACTTTTCCTGCCCTTGGTCCGACGCCATTGTTCCCGGTGGCACGACGCATAAAAAAGCCAAGTTGCGGCCATGAAAATTCATGGCGACCCCGTCATTTAAGCTACACAGCTAGCTGGTGGGATTATTAGTACGGGTCACGGGGAAGAAACATAACCCAAGCACTGTATTTAATATCAGCTAAAAAAATTTAAGGGTGCCATAATGCATTGGCGGGTTCATTAATTAATATTATACCTTGATTGTGGTATTAAAAATCAATTATTAAAGGCAAAAAGAAATAAACAAGTAAGGAACCTCAATAAAATTAATATGGTATTTTTATAATTTTATTTAAATATATAGGGAAATACTATTTTAAGGGCATAAATATATAATTTATAATTGTTATCTTCCCCTTTAAATTTAGTGGCATGGAAAACTCTTTTGAAAAATCATAAAAAATCTTAAAACCATTTCAGTTGACAATAATATTTGTGTGACTATTTTTTATGACTTTTCTCTAATTCGTATTGATGTAAAATATTAAAAAATCAAGTTCAAATGGTCCATAAAAATATGAAATCCCATATATATTTTTAAGTATGGATGGTTTTACAGTTGAAGTGTTACAAAAGCTGCAAACTACATCATATACAAGCCCCCATTGAATGTCGTCGATTGGCTTAAAGGCTTTCGCGTTCATTGCCAGGTCATAAAACCCTTGCCAAAAAACAACAACAACAGCAAAGGCAACACTGTGTCAATAAAAGTGTCAATCAAATCAATGGGACAGCCCAGCAATTTTTCATGCTCCCCAAAATACACACGCACTAAACAGAGAAAGAAAATTCGAGAGGAAAATGGGCTATGAATTTTCTAAAAATATTTTAAAACAAGACATCGAAACTAAATTTGGGAAGCCATAGTCTGTATTTCTAAAAGTTTGTAATTGGATGAGTTTTTAATTACTCATAACTCGATTCAAAGTATTACTTTAGGCATTTATTGTTTTTTTTTACTTTCGAGTATCTACAAGAAAACCTTAAATATGTATATTTTATGTAACAATATTTTTATGATCACTTTTTTCAATAAATCAAATTTAAAAAAATTCATAACTCAGCTAAAAATGCATCAAATTCAATTCGGAAAGCTGTTCTGTGCTAGCTTTTATTAGGTTAACAAAACTGTATAATTAGTTAAGCACTTTAAAAAATTATATTTTTTGCCAATTTTTGCAAACTTTAACAATGAAATTTTTCCTTTGAAATTTTGGTAAAAATTTGAAAATTTGTTGTTTTGTCCGGAGTGACCTAGATCGACGCAGTTTTTTGTGCTGATCAAGAATATATATGATTTATAGGGTCGGAAATGACTCCTTCAGTAAATATACAACTTTTGTCTAAAATTGGAATACCCCATACCAAAAATAAATGTTAGAGGTTATAAAACTAAAAACGACTTTTAGAATTCATTTATCAATTTAGAAATCTATTTTTTCCTTCAGTGTATCACTGACAAACTCACAGATTCGTGGCACCGGCTGTTGCATGCTTTTCGTAGAATTCTGTTGGGAAAAATAGTAGATGGAGCAACAAAAGGTCATAAAAACATTGTGGCATTTGCCAACACTGACTGACTGACGTTGGCAAAACGCTTTTCTCCCCATTTTACCCACCGCATGTTGACTTGGCTAATTTTTTGTGATCAGAGTTTCGGTTTATTTGGTATTGGTTTCTGTCTTTCTTTATATATATATATATATACATATATATATTTTTGGGAAGGTCATCAGCTGTCTGTTGTCCTGCGAAACGTTGATTTGATTTTACGCTGCCTTGTTCAGTGCACATCGGTGATATTAACGCTCTCGGATTATGACAGCAGCCTGTCTAGGCCAAAAAACCATAAACCAGACCTTCGAATCAACCAAATGAAGCTGAAAAAATGCAACGGACAGATGTCCCTTTCCCCTCCTGATTGTTTCATATGCAAAAGGAAAATCTGGAACAAACTGCGTTCATTTATCAAAATTTGACTGAAGCCCAGAGACGACCAATATAAATCGCTTTGTCGTTTTCTCTGGCCAAAAGTTATAAATGATGCAAATTTTACAGGGGGTCCAAGAGTCTAAAAGAGATTTGAGAAGAACAATGTGAAGGGGTTAAGCCCAAGAGTGATGGAGTTGATCCAAGGACATGTTAGCCTTGTTAGCTCCAAGGATTTTCATCAAATTATAACCCAAGAAAAAAACAGGTGTTAACCGCACAGACCACATAAATTTATTCCGCGCTCAATGAAAATGGCCAAGTATTAAGCAGCAATTTGTAAATCCAATACGAGCTCTTTGCCTCAACCCGACAAATTTATTGCCGAACGTGCCACACATAAAATTCACTGAGGCGAGACAGTTTTCCATTGCTTTCCGTTCCGTTCCTTTCTTTTCTTTTCGTTTCTTTCTTTTTTTTTGGCTGCTGCATTTGCGGAAAATTGTTTTACATTACAGCCAGAACCCAAAATTGAATAATGCGTCGGGGATTTACTTGGAGCAAGTCTGAGGGTTGAGGGACAATACAAACAAGCCATAAATTCTTGGGGAGCCATATGCAGACATTGTCGGATCTTAAGTGGCAGTTGTCGCAGGAGGCGGGTATTTTCCACCAGCTGCCAGCGAAGACATTTTCCATCGAACAGAAAATGCAACTTGGTAGCCGGTTGAGGAAACTGCAAACATATTGCCAAAAGGAGGAAAAAGATGCCACTTTGGTTCTCTGACAGCTGGTAAAGCTTAGTTACACATTCAAAAAACAAAAAGAAAAGAGTTCGATAAGGTAAGAAAATATTTAACAATAAGGAAGCAAAAAATTATAGAAAATAAATCAGAACAGTTCCAAGGTAGAAATTAAATTTAAAACATGTTTTGTACCTTGAAAATGTTTAAAAAATAAAATATACTTCATTTGAAATCCTACCATCTCTAAGAAATAACAATTAATATCTCCGCTTTATAAGTTCCTTAAGCTCTTCTTCAAATATTTCCATAGATACTCCCATCAAATGGAAACTTAGTGGGCAAGTAAATACTGTCAGGACTCTGGCACACTTCAAAGGAAGTAAGTGTCCTGGACAGGACCCCGAAAAGTAAGCTGCTTTGCATGAAGTTTGCCCTCTGCCCACTTGATTTCATTTGTCATGCCGAGCCATAAATAACTAAAGGCTAAGACGAGGCGCCAAACGTTAATCACAGCAAGTGCTGGAAATCAACAACAGACGGCATGAGAGCAGCAGGAAAAACCAGGGGGGAAAAACCAAAACCAACGACCAAAGTCACAGTCCTGACACCAGCATTAATTGCGCATTAATGTTTATTGCTTAACGGATGTGGAAGTGGCGCCATTTTGCCATTTGTCTGTTTTGCTTTCCCTCGTCGAAGCAGAAAAAGAAACAAAAGAAGCCGAAACAGAAACAGAAAACCACCGGAATACAGTTTTGATACCCTTCAAGGACCTGCAAGTCCTTGCTCAGAGCGTGATTTAACTTAATGCTCATTTAGTGGAACTATTGGTTTATCTCCCCCAGAAGGAAAATAATTGGATTGGCAGATTGTGTGACAGGATTTAATTGGAGGCAAAGGATATTATAGATTTTATTGGTTTGATTTCAGGATTTCTTTTTCGGAGAGGAGGCTTTACCGCAAAGGAAGTTGAAGAGGAGTTGGTTTTAAAGATAGGTATCTAGAAAAATTCTAATAATATATATTAAAGATGGATTTAAGCTTTAAATGAAATATAAATATAACATAACTTTGGTATTACAACTTTAAAAATTGCTTTTTAGCTTTAAAATTATATCAAAAATTATGCTAAGGGTTAGTAAAAGTTTTTATAAATAGCACAAATAAATTCAACACCAAGGACAAGTGTGCTTTAATCCCATGAATATTAAAAAACCCTTTTTTCAGTAACTTCCAATTTCTTTTACAATATACACATAACATACAAGAGAAAATTAACTGCTTAAAATTTAATTTCTGATTAAAATTCAGTAGTTACATTTAATTAAATAGCATATTTAAGTCTCGACTTGAGCTTACATAGAGACTCGCCTTCGTATTATCTTCTGACATTCAATTTCTCGTTTTGTTTCATTAATTTCTTCTCGCTTCACAATTTTTCTTTTCTCTACTCTATTTTTTTCTTTTTCTGTCTGTTCTTCGCTCTCCCTCTTTTCTGGGGGAAAATTTGTTTTGTATTTCCGGCTGAACTGAGCTCCAAATACTTCCGGTGACTTGCGCGCCATTCGAGGCTTAAATTTATGGAGCTAGTTTGCGAGCTGTTTCCGCCGCATTTGCCACATGGCTGCCACAGTTACACTTATTTTTACAGTTACAGTTACTGCCATTGCCACAGCCTGTGGCTTCCTTTTCAGCTTAAAGCTCTATGGAATAAATGGGTTTATTTTGGGATGGGATATGGGTGTATTTTAAGCGACACTCTGATTGATTATCCTTGGGCAAATTCGTGCGCCTTTGGTGCGGTTTTTGGATCAGCTCAGGTCCCTAATGAGATGCGTATTTCATTTGTATTTACTTACACGTGCCGATGACAGTGGTTTCACTGATTGCAACGATAAATACCTTAAAATAGGGGGGAGAAATTAATTTAAAATATTTGGTAAAATAAAGAAATATTCAAAGGAGCAAGAAGATAGTTGACACTCAATTTAAGGTCTTCAAATATCTTGAATACTATTTATTTGCAGTATTTAACTTGGTTAGCTTTTGTTTTTATTTTATAACTTTTTTTTGGCAAATTTTTAGCTAATAACTTACCCAAAAATATAGATTTTTTGTATTTATATAAAACATTTAACAAAGTTGGCCTGAATAGTTGACACATTGACTGTTTGTTTATTCCTCAGCAGGGGGGACCTGCCCTGGGTTTGTGTTGTCATCAATCATCGTTTTCGTTTTCGACAAAACACCTCTTCAAAATTCCAACAAAATTCCAAAAAATGGCTGGCAACCAGCTAACTGGCCAGGAGGTAAGTTAACCCCTCCCGTGCCGTAACCTTTGACCTCCCGAAATTAACACCCGCAGGACACATCGGTATCGTCACGCATCACACTTTTCAATCAGGCAGCAGAGCAGCATCAAAACTGGATGATGATTAATCCCTTTGCCCATTACAATGTCAGTGATATGCCCAAGCGATGTTTTGGCCAAGATGAATATGGAAAGCCCCCGGCGGGCAGTCTCTCCGAACAGAGAGCTCTGCAGGCCAATGTCTGGGCTCTGGAACAGATGCTGCAACTGTGCGAAGTAATAGAGAATAATGGTGAACCCGATCCTGTCGATCCAAGACTCAGGAGACTGGAATTTGGACAACTTTTCAATCTCTACAACGATATATCCGATAAGCTAATGGGCACCATGTTAGCGGCTCGGAAAAATGGTTTCGTCGAATTTAGTGGGGAAACTCTTTTCCAGGGACGCGATGAGGTTGTTCCAGTTCGCTTGCTTCGTCCCTTTCAGCAGCTAAAAATTGAGATCCTGGCAAAAATCGAAGATTTGCGTTGCATTTTCACTGAAAAACCACTGGAGACATTCCTACGCCACGATTAGGTCACGTTTTTGCAGGGAAGGAGGTTCTGAAAAACTGTCACCGGATCGCACGTGTGCGCACCTGAGCCTATTCGCAGTTAATTGAATTTAAATCTCAACGTCCGTGGGCAAAAGCCTTTTTCCTTGCCGCCACCAATCCCGTCACGTATACGACATGGTGGCCCACTTGTAAGCACCTGCCAGCGGCATTTCACAGGCCTCTCGCCTGAGCCCCTCTGAGATTGTATCACCTCTAGGAAATAAACAAATTACAGCCGACTTAGTCGATTTCATATGCCATGGGCCAGGTTGGAAGCGTCTGAGACTGCGACTTCAAAAGCCCCGCTCTCCCACTCGCTTGGCTGACAAATTATGTTGAATTATTTGCGTAGATGGTAAGGCCGTAAGTCATTTGGTTTCTTGGCGGTTCATTCGATGGTTGATGTAGGTGGCACAGTGGTGCAGTGAAAGAAATCATGGATATATCTTTAAAATTGATTTATTTTGAGAATCTTTCAGGCCTTCTTAGGTGAGTATATTTATGCCATTGCAGAGTATTATTATTTTTATCAGAAGCTTGTTTCGATGTGACAAAGAAAATAATTCTTCATTACAAAATACTATATTTAAATACAATAATGAATGACGACAAAAAAAATAGATACGAAAAAGATAATACATTTCTAAACGATACAAGAGTATTAATATTTGGACTTCGGAATGACTGTTCCCATTTATTTTTTATATCCAAAACAGGAATTCTCATTTCAGTCAGAAGCTTAAAACACATCGAAGGAGTCATTTCCGACCCTATAAACCCTATATATTCTTGATCAGCACAAAAAACTGCGTCGATCTAGATAACTCCGGGCAAAAAACAAATTTTTCAAATTTTGTTCCAAAATTTAAACAAAAAAAAAGATACATCACATCGCTAAAAATTGGCAAAAAATTTTATTTTTTTAAATAATAAATTGAGTATGCAGATATGTTAACCTAGTAAAAACTAACACAGAACAGCTTTCCGAATTAAGATTAATGCATTTTTGGCTTAGTTATGAGATTTTTTGTATTTGATTTGTCGAAAAATATTTTCATATAAAAATAGCCATAAAAGTTATAATTAGTCTTATGTTTTTTCAATTTATTCTCGTTGTCTAAATATTTATTTCCAATGTTTCTTTCCGCTCCCTGAATATATTCACACATTTACCAATTTAATGTGTGACACTTTTCCAGCCCACTGTTGGAATTCGGAAAATGATGCCAAAATCGTGGGCGTGGGGCAGACTAATGTACCGTTGATTTGATTTAATAACTCCGCCCCCTTAGGAACTCCGCTCCCTCTCATTGATTCTTTACCTCAAACCTGGCCCCATTTTGGGTTTTAAAGCCCCAATAAATTCGCATAGGCGGCTGGGGCTACAAATGATTGAATAATGAAGACCGAATGTCTGAATTCTGGGTATTTGTGACACGTAATTATGATGGAGCGAGGCGAGGCATAGAATGGAATGATCTAAAATAAACATGTTTCATGTGGCAGGAAGAGACCGGGGTATGGCCTTAAATGAAATTTGTTATGCAAATGTCATGACTCGGCTCGTTGCGCGCAACATCCGTTTGCCATTTTTCCGCACATCCAACAACTCGGGGGAAAGGCGGAAGGCCAACAATTCGGAGCCAGAAAAAGGACCAAAAAAAGCAACGCCCACTTCCCATTTTGGGTGACTCAGACTCACTTCTATGTAGTAGCTTCTATATATGTATGTATGTAGGTGCTGATTGCTCAGCTTGAAAATGGCCTTGGTCCTGCGGGTCCTGAGCTCTGTTTTCTGCCATTTAAATCACACCGAACACACTCATACGCCCCGTTGTCCCAGACAAAGGTAAGTAAACAAAGACGGCAGTTCGAAACAAAACAAAGTAGGAGTTGTATTTTTTGTTTGTGGTCAAAACGCTTAGCTTTTGGCATCAACTTGAACTTTATTTATTTATGTGCATACATTTTGGTTTATTAAAGGTTTATGAATTATTGATTTGCTTTTCTTCAGGTGAAAAGGTGTCCTGTCTAGAGCTTAACCCAGCTACTTTGTTATTTCTTCAACCGATTTAAATTTAGAACTATGATTTATTTTTAGAAATGTGTCGAGACTTCAAATTTAGACACTTTCAACCTTTTGCTAAATAATGAAAAACTTATTACCGCTTTAACCAAAACCCATCGGAAGTCTTTCCATAAAATAAACGAAAACTCTGTAAACTAATTATTATAGCAATTGTTATGAACCATTTCCGGTTATTGCATAAACGTAAATTCCAAATAAAATCCCCTGACCATCTTCTAGGGGCTGCAGCTTAGATTTCCCAGCTCATTTTAGCCAAGTTTTCCCCGGCGGAAACCCTTTTGAGATTGTCGCGCGCTCTTGGCTCTTGATGTCTTGAATTTCCGTCAAAACTTGTGGCTGATTTATGGCCAACGCAGCGGTGGTCGTCAAAGGACACGCTGCCAAGGCAGTGATGGCAATTTGTCCTTAAGCGAGAAAATATAATTTATATTGGGAGGTAAATATAATAATCAAATATAATTAAATATAATAATAATAGAGATAACCTTTCAAGAAATTTTGAACACTCTGAAATCCCAAAATGTTTTCTTTACAAAAATCTTAGTTCCCCAAAATCACAATTTATGTCTACCAATTTTATGAAAACTATATATGTAATATATATGATATAGTCTTCATTTCCACCACAAAAATGTATTAATTTATATTTTATTTATTAATTTTTTAAATCTGTTATCCCTTTTCCCACTTTACTCATATCCTTTCATCGACCTTGTCCCGCTTTTGATATAGGTTATTAGGCAACAGCACTGTCATCGCATCTTGGTAAACTGAGCCATCTCAAGTCACTTCCGCCTGCTCCAGGGCTTCGCCTCGAGCTTCTGCGGCTTTTCGCCCAGGATTCCCAAAGGATTCGCCCACAAAACAAGGTAGAGTAAGCTCTTTTTGATTAGCCCGCAAAGGTCGTCGAGTGGAACGTTGCAGTTGATAAGCGGGCGAAATCATAAAACTGTCGTTTGGCCAGTTGATAAGAGCGGCGCGTGTGGTCCCAGCTGGCCATCGTTGTCGTCATCAACCAGCACCAACAGAGGCACCAGGCCAACCATCAACAGTCAGGTCAATTCGGGGTTATTTTTGGGTCAAGAGCCGCCTCGGAATTCAGGCCACAAAAAAAGCATTGCACGTGGCAATCCAGTAACTGCTGCTGGTTTACCTGTATAAAAATATGGGGTATAATGGGACTATTCGGAAGTATTTTCATGGAATATATATAGACTACTAAAATATATCATAAAATTAGCAAAACAGCTTCTTTGTTCAATTCTAATTCAGACAAAAACAATTTAAGTACCCCAAAAATTAATTAAAATATTCCAAGTAAATAACAAACTCTTAAGAACTAAAAGTAATAGAAATACATACTTATAAACCATTAAAAACTTGAACTTAAACCCAATTTAAGCCTCCTAAATTAAGTATTTGTTAAGTCTCTTTTACACCAGAATTAAAATGATCCTAGCTCAGACTAATCCATCGAAATACCCACCAAATAGGGTAACTCCAAGACCCGTGGACCTTATTATTATATTCAAAATTGCCCGGGGAGAGGGGGTAGGATGTAATAAACATAAAAATTATACATACCCAGCGACATATTTATGCATATTAGTGTTAATGTCTGAAACTGGCGCGATGACGGCGTCTAGATAAAACTAAAAATGGGAACTCCTCCATCGCCCTCTTTTTTTTTCCTCTCCTCTTGTGAAAAACTTTTCAGACGCATTGCAAACAATGACGTAGCTGCTCCTTAGACGCTCATTTATGCAAATGGCCGCCATTTGCAGCAGCAACAGCAGCAGCTGAAGCACAAAGGACACGGAGGACACTCGCATGGCGGAGGATTTATAATGGCAAATACGTTATTTATTCGCTGGCTTATTGTTTATGAGTGTCGGCACTTTATTACACACAAAATACAATTCACAGTATATGGATATATATATATTTACTGTCAGACATTTACATTTAATTATTGGCTAGCCGCCGGCTTGAGAATTGCTTTTCCATTTTCCAGTCATTATTTTTTGCGGCTCTGATGTGCCAAGTTTATATTTTATTTGATTTCAATTTGAATTTATTGGCCTCACTCTCAAGCCTTCAACTTGAGCTGCCAGCAGCTCGAAAAAAAGAGGGCAGCCATGTAGAAAGGTCACTGCGGATTGGCTGAGTCACTTCTGAGTCTGAAGTCTGAAGTCCTGTGTCCTGCGTCCTGGCTCCTGAGTGGCGACTATGATGGAGCACTTGGCAAGTCAACCGCCCTGCGGCAGGATATATACATATATGTATAGAAAAAAATAAAAATAAAAACTAAACAAAGTCCTTTGATAAACGAATTGAAAGTGGTGTTCAATCAAAAGAGGGTGAAGTCAAGGAGCAAACAATAAACTACTCTTCAGATTATGTAGATTTTAATGTATTAAAAAAGGAAGAAGACTGTATGAAAGGATTGTCTTTTACCATTTAAAATAGAATGGAAAATTGACTAAGAAATATGTGAGATATTTACTTACATTCAAATAAACTTAAGTCTCCAAATGAAAGTGTCCAGTTTCTGTTTTTAGAACCTAATTAGCTTTGCTCTACGACTTTGATTTAAAACAGATTAAATAAATCCAATTAACTGCCTGAACTTATCACTGACAACCCTTTTAACTTAAGCTCAAAATAGCATCCATTAATTTTCACTTTGAATCTAATTTGTATCCCAAGAAAAGGATAAAGCAATTTCCTTTTTTAGCTCAAGATTGATTTAAAAATAATTTCTTGCATTTCCATTTTCTTTTGCTGATTTCTGCAACTTTTTTTCCAATCACTGCAATATATTTTAGTTTATTGCTGAAAGTCAATTTTAAATCAATTGCCACCTGTCACGAGCCGCAGCAGATTGCAGAAGCCAGAGCAAGGCATCCTAGTTATCCATCTTGGGTGGCACATGGTTATGGCACTTGGCATTCTTCGGTCTCTTCTCCATCTCTCTCTTCCGGTCTCCGGCATTTCTTCCTCTTCCTGCAGTTTCCGGTCCTCGAAGGCGCATCGTTCTAGTTGGAATTTTGCGGGGGGTGCGAATATAAACCAATTTGAATCTGGCACGAGCTGTCGGAAAATGTCGACATTTCCAAGAGCTTCAGTTTGCCTTTCCTGCTGCTGCTCCAGCAAAAAAAAAATATAAATAAATAAGAAAAATCGGAAAACAAAAGGAAATGCATAACAGGCAGACAGTCAACAGCTGCATTTTGGTATGCAATTTTGGAAGAAGAAACCATAAAGAAAATGGGAAAATGTGTGAACTTTGGACACTTGTACTGTTCTTATTTTTAGACAAGTTCAAGCGGATAATATTTTCTCTAGGCCGGAAATGGAATTTATTTAGAGCACAATTTCATTTACTATTTATTTTGACAAATTAAAGATTAAAAAACTAAAACCTCAAATAAAAAGCATTAATTTTAATTCGGATAGCTTTTGTATGTTAGTATTAGTTAAGTTACTAAATCTATATTCTCAATTTGAAATAAAAATTTTGTTTATTTTTTTAAATTTTAATGGTGTGAATAATTAATTAATTAAAATTGTTGAAAAAATTTGTGTAAATCTACGTTTTTCTAATCTCATAACTAAGCTAAAAATGCAATAATTTCAATTCTGAAAACTGTTCTATGCTAGTTTTTGTAGTGCTAACAAATCTGCATACTTAATTTAAAATTTTAAAAAGTTTAATTTTTTGTAAAATTTTGAACATTTTAATGATGGAATTTTGATGTAAATTTGAAAGTAAAAATATTAATTTTTACTGGATATGGCTAAATTGATTCAGCTGTTCATGCTGATCAAGAATATACATATATGATTTATAGGGTCGGAAATGACTCCTTCATTATGTTTTAAGCTTCTGACTAAATTTATAATACCCTGAAAATGTGTAATAATGTAAGAAATGAAAGCCTCTAAGTCAGGGCCACAATAGGTAAATAAGCCATGAATTAAGGGAATTAATTAAAAAATAAATGTATAGCAAGCTCAGCTTAATTTAGACCTAGGCCTTATCCATACTATTTATATGTATACTATATTATATAATAATCATGGTAAAGACTTACCGGAGTAGAGGAAACACGGTTATACTCTTTCGTCGTTGCTGAATTCCTTCCAGGGCTGAGTTTAATTCTTGGTGACTTTAATCAGGCTAAGTATCCGCAAAGTGAGTTTCTTCCTGTTTAACCAGATATATTCCATTGATCAAGCGATATTTTTGGGATCGAAGAGCCATCACTATCACTGCCACTATCACCATCGATGTTAACACTGGGAAGGCCACGCACAGACTGAGGCCAGCGAGAGGGGAGTGCCTCTATTTATAGTCCCGAGCGGAGTGAACAACAAAGAAAGTGAGAGTGAGAGTCCCAGAGAGTAAGAGATACCTTTAGAGAAAGGTAGGGAGAGCTGTGGAGAAAGAGTTAGCTTTAGAAGTTCATAGAGAGAGCTGTAATGGTTGTGTAAGGTGGCATGATCGATTTGGCTGATCCAGAATATATATGTTTATATATATAAATAATGAAGATATTAATAAATGATTTGTTTTTAATATTTGAATTATAATATATTTAATTCTTAGGGAGTATTTTAATTAAACCTGATTTATTTAAGGTTCTATAAAATATATAAATTAGATTAAGTTAGAAAAAAGGAAAGAGATGAAGCCACTTTTATATCTTTAAGGTTATATTATTTTAAATAAAATGTTGGAAAAAGTTGGCAAATGTTGGAAAATCCCTTACTATAATTACAATAATAATATGTAATATAATATTAAACAAATATAATACTTTTAACATATTTTTTCTCTGCCTTAAAAAGCGACAAATATTTGAGTATCGGCTTTTGAGCTCGTGTTACGTCCGTAAATCTTTCACTGAATCCTTATAAAGTTAGTGCCGTGGTTTTTTTTGTATTTTTTGTTTCCCTTTTTTTTTGTTGTTGTTGTTGGTCTGTGGTCAGCTGCCAATAAATTTCTGTGTGCCAGTGGGCGTTCCCTTTTCGGTTATTCCTCTCCAGCCCCAGGTTGTGTAATTGTGCGAGTCAAGTGAGCCCGCAATGGGACGGGTCATAAAGGTTAAGCCAAGTGGAAATGTCGGGGTGATTAATCTGAAAAGTCGAGCCCAGGGCGCCCCTCTCCAAAAGGTTACGTTCTGCTCTGGTCAGCAGTGTGTTGTTTCTATTAGAAAACTTTTATATCGCCGCTGTCCAGTGAAAGAAGTGTGAGAACAACAAGAAAATAAATGAAAACTCTTTGGCACGTCATGCAATTGATTGGCGTTGCCACCCACGAAAATCCCCGAAAATGTTCTCTTGAAGAAGAAAAAAGGGAAACATCATCTGTCAGACGGGAGCAGCAGCAGCCAGTCAAGGCAGCCGTCTTATTGGGAAATGAAAATATTAAAAATATATACCAACTGTCTCGCACTGACAGGAAAAAGGAAGCGCTGGAGGGAAATTCAAAGGGAAAATAAATCAGCGAGCCATAATCCGCTACGTTGTCTCTGAACCCAGGTTCGGCGCCTTTCCTATGGCTTTTCCAGGCGCCGAAGTCGAAGTCGGAAAACTCAGGCACATGCCACCAACGGATCAAGTTTGAGGGCTTCTAAGGCAAAGCCAACAAAAATTAATGTTCGAGGAATATATAAATGTGAAAATTTTTTGAAATTTAATTTAGTATTTGGCAGCAGTGAAAAGGGATTTAAGCGGTGAGAGGGAAATATCCTAAGAAAATCCATGGAAAAGCAATGTAGGTGTTCACACTTATAGATTTATTGTCAAGTTTGATAAATGCATTTATAAGGACATATTCCAACCATTATAATAGACCAAAGTTCAAAGCCTTATTGAGTTAAATGTTGAAGTTCAATAATGTCATTAGATACAAAAATACTTGATATATACTTGAAGATACACCAAGGAAAATAAAGAAAACAAATACAAATGTTATAATCATAATGAAGGTTTAATTTTTTAGGTTTTTATTTAGAAATAACTTAAAAAAAAAACCCATTGATTTATATCGACAATTGTTTGGCAAACTTTGAATGCCCCTTCTAAGTAATTAAAACCCGCTAATGACTTTTGAACCGCAGCTATGTTGGAAAAGTCTTTTGGCTTATCCTTCACTCCCACACACACACATAAAGTTTTCACTGCAAACAAAAGCGAAGAAAACTTGTGACCCAACCGGAGATGGGTGTTTCCAACCGCTTCTTGAACAATAAACATTAAATTAATTTCCTCGGGCGATGGCTGCCCACGCAGAAAGTAAATTTCACTTTAGCCAAAAGACCCATAAAATGTCTTTGCTGCATTTCCGGCGGGGATCGAAGAGGGAAAACTACTATCTGCGGGCTCTTCAATTGCACAAAACTGGGTCGTTGTAGTCATTATAGAGTGTATAAAACTTGATTGTTCGCCTTATGGCATTTGTTGGTCTTATAAATAGATGTGAGTAGTGAAAGTGCAACCGAAAAAAAAAAAACAGAGAGGGTGCTGCAGCAACATGCAGCTTGCAGTAACGTTTATGAATGAATTTCCTCAAAAAATACTACTGCTTGCAACATTTCTTTGACGCATGCTCAGTGTTAGGCGCGCAACATTGTTGCTGCCACATTGTTGATGTTGGGCAACCGGAAAAACTGGCGGAAAATTCGGCGGCACAGTTGGCTGTCAGCGTTCAACGGATTCGAAACGGAATCGAAGAACAGTTTTCCGAATCATCGGCGTCATCGGTCGTTGTCGTTGTGTTTAAAAATATATCACTCATACGCACCGGAGAGCAGCGTTAAGTGAGAGAGCGAAAGCGATAGTGAAAGTGCAATGATATTCACTCCCTAAATAAATAAATAAATAAACACCACGATTTGTTTATAATTAAATCAATTCTATATAGTAGAGCAGAGTGTTTTCAAATTCTACCCGGAGTACCTATAAATATGTAGAATCAAGTGCCAGCCAGCAGCGCATTAATTTATAAATAAATATATTAAATATATTAGCTGGCCAGTGTGAGTGAGAGTCGATAAAAAGCTCCCCCGAAAAGAATTTTCTTGGGGAAAACGTGAAAACAAATTGGTGAATTATCTCTATATACACACAAGCAGAGAAAATATAAATAAAGGAAAACCCAAAGAAGCCAAAGAACTCGCTGCGAATCGTAGATCATCCGTGTGACATATCCAATATAATTAACCCCATCGAACCGAAGTGAAAATTCCTCCCTTGGCATTGATTGTTGACATTCTCGCATCGCACGTTACACAGAGATATGCAAATGGAAATATGCGAGTCTTTTTAAGGAAAACTCACACGCACACACGAGTTGTAAATTAAATTCCCAAGGTAAGCAAATAAGTCTTAATAAGCCTATTAAAATAACACCAAAAAAACAAACAAAAAGAGAAACGTGTGTCATAAAAGAACGCGTTTTTGCCTTAAGAAAGCAAAATGTCAAGTGGCTTTTTTATTAGCATCCTTGGGTGTGGAAATCCTCATGATTTCCATGTCGATAAGCCCCAGCATGTTGAATATTAAAAAGATTAATTTATTGCTGTGGGAAACCTCCCATGTGCCTTTCACTTTCCCTCTCTATCTATCTCTCTCCCGCTCTGTTTTCTTATTTATTGTTCAAGGCGGAAAAAGTGGAGAAAAGTCTGCCTTTGACGGGTCATCCATGAGATGCAATCGGTACAGGAAATTCGATTTTTGCATCCTCAGATTCTGGCTTTTATTATGACATGAGAAATTCCAGAGAAAAATACAATGCAGGGAATGCTATTGTTAAAAAGTAAAGGGGATTTTCCTTGCAGACAGCACAATATACATATAATGCTGCCACTCATCAAATTCTTAATAATTTGATCACAATGCTATGAGCTTCTTGAAGCATACTCCCTTTTCTGTTATCAATATTCAATATAATGCTGTAAGACTTGACAATCAGTTATTGCATTATTATATATAAGTTACTAACAAAGCTGGAAATGTGGTAACTTAATCAGGAATACTGTTTATTGTTAGAGAATTATATGTTTTCCATTCTCTCACTTTTGAAAAGCAACTAAAATCTTAAGTAGACATATAACAAATTGTTATAATAAGAAATATATAAATATTTAGTGACAATCTTTTGAAGTTTGGCTTTATTTTATTTCATTTTACAAAGGGAAACACAGATGAAAATATTTAATCAATTTTAATTACACTTTCAAAGCCTTTTGTTTTTATTTTTGCCAACTTGAACCTTTCACAATTTTGCTAAAAATTTCTTCACTTCACTCTTGTAATATTCCCTCTTCCCTTTGACTGTACTTACCAAATAAACTGCCAATTTTCCAAGAAAATGAAATATTTCACGTCAGTTGCCGTTGTACTTCTTTCCTAGAATATTGTACCTTGTAATTTAACATCGCTTTCTCTGCAATTTATTAAATATCAAAAATATACAAACGAAATGTAACAAGAAATTTTAATAAAATAAAATGCTTGAAGCTTTAATTTCTGTGCCAAAAACTACCTTAGGAGTATTTAATTGTTGTCAAAAGCATGTTTATAGGCTCCAAGCATTTACATTTTAATTAAATGCATAAACCTAATAAAAGATAATAAAAATATTAAAGAGAGAGGGGGAGAGGAAGGAAAGTGGTCTACAAATGTGAATTAAAAAGTTTTTGCCCCCGGTTTCCTTGGCCTTGAATAAACACCAAAGGAAAGTGCAAAGTAAATTTCACCAAAACTTTATCCAACTGAGGATATATATATGTACAGGTGCTGCCATTCAAATTTATTCACATGCAAAAATAAATGTGTGTTCTCTTATCCACAAACTGCATATTAATTAACTAAAATTGCAGAACATTCATTTGCATACGAGCCGAGTTTTTCCAGGTACAAAAGGAAAAATTACGCATAGAGAGAGTGGGTGGGGAAAAGGCGGTAGATTTATGTTTGGCCTTGGGTTAAATGCTGCCAGCAAATAGATCTTGAGCCTTTCTCATTCTCCCTTCGCTGCTACTTAATGTCTAAATGATTAAGTATACGTCGCGTGGTACTCTGCTGGTAACAATGCAGCGATTATTTACCCTAAACGCAGCATTTCAGTCTAACAAATAACCACGCGGCCCATTAAATGGAAAAATAGAAGAGATTACACATAAAAGAATTTTATAGGGATTTATGGTATGAGTTTAAACAGTTTAAACTTATTTTAAGGCCATTAATACTTATGGGGAAATCAACAAAACTATCCATAATACTGGGCTACAAAATTATGGTTGATATAGAGATATACACAGAAATAAAAATTTCTAAATTTATATATATTTCTTTCACCAATAAAAGTATAAATTTAATTTTGTAAATAAATATTTGTAATTTTAATAAATAATATAATGTTGATTCATTCAAACACAGTAAAATTAAACATATTTCTTGCCATAAATATTTAGAAAACTGCTATAAAAGAGATCTAATACCAGAAGAAAATTTTTTTAAACTAGTTTTTATTTATGAATCTATTTTCCTTTAATTTTTAATATATACTAATTATACTAATAACCCCACCTTTTTTCCCACCGTGTAAAAATACGTAACAAAGACGGGCGCGCGTTGGGGCATAAATCAGTTGCTTTACGGAGAGAGCATTCAGCACCTGGCCATTGAGCAATCAAATTGTGCGAATTCCTACAATTAGAGAGGCTGCCTTTTGGTATTCCCTCAACAGGACCTCGGCGCAGGATGCTCATTAAAACCGAAAATTGCAACAGAAATATGCAAATGACAGCGAAGTGCTGGCTGCTGGATTTTTTGGGGGGAAATGAAGAAATTGTTACAAAACCTGGGCTGGACATCCATCCACCTTTCACATACCCCAAAACCCTGGTCAGAGGGGGAAAAAGTCGTATTTCTTTATTTTCTGCGGCTTTTCTTTTGGGGTTCCGTCTGCCAGATTGTCGAGAGAGCAAAAGCCTTGAAACTGTCAACTAAAAATAAATCGCAAAGAGCGAGAAAAGTGAGCTCTTTCTCTACGAAATATTATAATTATAAAATATTTCTTTTTTTTCTGTTTTCATTTCATGCCGCAAACAAGATTCTTTGACTATTATACGTTTTATTTTGTATTTTTTTTTTTTTTTGTGCTATTCCACATGGCTCTCCTAGCTCTTCTATAAAATTTCGCGTGCAGAAAACACTAAATCCAAAGCTAAATGTCTTATATACTATAAGTAAAACCAAATTCCGTGGGCAGACACATATGGCATCACAATGGAAAAGTGGCCGCTGGCATAAGTTAATATACTTAAGCTGCTTAATTAAATAAATTTGAGAAAGAATGCCAGAAGAATACAGTGAAATATTTATATATATTCTATTCTAAATGATTTAAATATTACTTTATGGCAAAATTTTGACTAATTATATGAACAACAACTAAATGTAAGAATACGGAATAATAATATTTATTACGTTATACATTTAAAGCAATCAAGTAAGTGTGCTACATCTTTTAATTAAAGCCTCATTTCCATTTCCCTTTTAATCAGTGAAAAACCCTGGCCAAATATTAAGCTTTAAATAAAAGGAAAAGTAAAATTTTTGGCACCAAAAAAAACCCAAGCAAAACGACACACAATCCAGACAATCCGGCGCCCAGTTAGACAAGCAAAACTACGAGTAAAACATGGATTTTCCACACCCTTGGTAATCCAACAAAAACCAGTAGAGGAAAATGGGAAAAACACGATGGCAAAAAAGGATTGCAAGGAGAATTCCACATGCAAATTGCTTTCTGAATAATTAAGTCGAATGTCGCTCAGGGAGAATGAAACATTAATTGAAACTATTTGTCGTGAAAGGATCACACAGCTAAGGACGTGACTGTTCTAATTATCCTTCTGGCATTGATTTGGCCATAACACATGGTCGTAAATAACATTCCGTTTAATATCTGTACATTCGTTTTAATTGCTCCTGGCAGTTGAATCTGCAATTAGCTCAACGGTTGGGTACTTTCTGCACTTTATCCATAAAGTGTTTAAGTGTTTTCACCTCCGCATAAAAACGTTTATACCTTTACTGCATGGGCTCTGGATAAAAAACTGCAAACGATTCACTCAAAGTTCACACAACTCATGCTCTTTTTTTCCATCTTTTTGTTAGCAAAAGCTTAAAGGTTTTTTTTTGTGTTGGTTGAAATGCATGTAGATTTTGGCCAGGCTTTCGGCATTTAAGCCTCGTAATCCAAGCCGTATTTATGGTCAGCCATTCAGAAAGCGGCATAAAGTGGCTTCCCGAAACTTTAGATTGTTTAATGGGTCCGAAAATGGATACAGGTTCTACTCACTCTTAGTTATATTTTAATTCTGTTGAAATACAAGCATTTATTTTAAGAAAATATAGGGTATGGGAAAAGGTTTTCCCGGAAAAATAAATGTTTTCAAAGGTTTGTTATTTTGTAAATGATTTATTTAATTTTGAAATGATTTATATGGTTAACTAAATCAATGATAACTAAAATATAAATGTATTATTACTTAAAAAAAAAAATTAAATAAAAAGAAAGTAAATATTATTATTACAGATAAAGTAAATCAATTTCCTGTGAAGGTTTATTTATTTATATTAAAAGACCTACAAAGAAAAAGGTCCTTCTATATTGATTAGTTTTATTATTCCTATTGATTATATTTTTAAAATATATTTATAATTTTCCCAATATTTCAAGAAGTATATTCGACAGTCACCTGGGAAATTTTCATGCCCAAACCGTCCTTTGATGTTTGGTGTTTTTCCAAAGAACATGTGAAACAACAAAAGCCGACCAAAAGCAACAAAGACCAAAAGGCAGTGAAACCAAAAAGGCCTCTGTGTTTTTCATCCTTTTTTAAAGATTGAACTGGGTGACAAAAAAAAAGGAGGAAATGGTGGGGAATTCCGAATTCCGGAATACAGAATACCGGCAAATGCCGCAATAAAGCCAGCTGTGGGGAAAAAATTGCCATCTAGGCTAGGATCCCAGTGTCCTTTCGGCTGGCAAAAAGCAATTTTGGGGCCTGGTCGTGTGGGCGATTTACCAATGTCAGGGGCCGTAAAAAATGGATGTGGGAGGAGCAGGAAGGACGACAACTAAAGCAGGACACGTGCATGGTCATCGGGAGTGGCAAAAAAGGGTCACAAACATTAAAGATAATTGCTGTTATAATTGCCCCGGACAGTTGCTGCCTCGCAGAAGAGAGAGAGCACTTCAATTCTCGCCTCTAATTGAGATAATCGCATTAGGACCTCGAGGTCGAAACAATGGAGCGCACTACACTACGGGTGCTAAAGGACACCTGCAGGACATGGGGACACAAACCGCAAATCGCTGACCACTTAACATGCTAAACCTGCACTGGACATTCTGCGCGGCAGTTAATCAAGTCCTTGGACACTGAACACAGATAACGTCTGCATACATTTTCACGAATATCACGCATACGCAACGTGTGACCCGGCCATGTGTCATCGCTAAGGGGGGAAACCCCTGCCATTTATCTGATTTTCTTTTCGCGCTCAACTGCATTCTGGGGTTAAAGTAGAAACCGCAAACATCACAAACACTCACGATGGCAATTATACAATCATATCATATCAGAAACGACATTTTCGGTTCTTTTTTTGTTTCACTAACTTGGCTATAAATTACATCAGCAGGTGAAATATATATATATATTTATGAATATATGTATATTGATTTCACTCTGCAATCAGGGCATAAGTCACACATTTGTTTTGTAGTTAATCACTGAGAGAAAGTACAATTTAAATTATAAACTATATATTAATTTGAAAGGCAACATTTTACAAACTTTTCTCTTAACAAAAATATATTGTACAAAATTTTGTTATTTGCTTTAATGTAATGCCAAGGTGTGGGCATTAAATCAAATATATTTTTACAAGTTAAAATCTAGTTAATATATTAAGTTTCTAAAAATATATATCATTATCTTCTGATTAGCTATTACTTTAAATATATAATTCATTTAAAATAGTTCTATTTAATATACTATCCCCCATTTTTTACCCATTATTCAATAATATTACAATTACTTATAAGTAATTTTCCCAGTGCTGTAAGTTACAAATACATTATTTTATCTGCGTATATGTTCCGACTGATTTTCTTGGCCACTTGATGAGCTATCGCATATTGGCCTCACTCTCTATTTGGCCCACAAACTCGTGGGCGGTGTGGGTGTGTCCAAGTTATTTTTTTGGCCACTTAAGTCTGATTGATGTGTCAAAAATGTGACATTTAATGCTCAAGGGTTGGGGTTAGGGTGTCAGAATTCGTGACATTTACACGTGGCAACGACATATTTAGTACAATTCCGGTCGAACCCTTAAATGATTTAGTGATCACACGTTAGTGGGGCCCACACTTGTTGCCAGACAAATAAAGTGAATTAAATCATTAGAGGATGACAAACACAGGACCTTCATTAAGGGTTAATGGGCAATAGAAATCGGAACTCTCTATTCAGCCAATCCACTTTCAATGGCAATTAGGCGGCAATCCTTTCACAGGACACACAAAATGTTTCCTACTAATTTGCTGTTAGTTTCACGTTTGTATTTATAATGGAGATTACACATTGTGGCTTCATTTGGTGTTAATGTTAACACAGGGTCATATAATATATAGTTAAGATAGAGAGAGCCTGATAGGAAAGTTGATTGTGTGTTGATAACCCTATAATTACTATATGAGCTGAAACAAAGGTATATCGAGAGGGAAATAAATTTTAGTTGCTAGGATAAAATTACTTTAATTTATTATAAATTAAGATATACATATATGCGATAAGTGGAGTTTAAGATATGTTTCTAAGTATTTTAAGGCACTCGAAATATACTTCTACATAAATTATTCAATTTTCTGTAAATTGTAATATTACATTTTAAGCAAAACTTAGATTCCTATTAATCCCTAATTATGTAAAGAGAACATTAATTCAGTTTAAGCTTTTCCTTTGACCAGAAACTCCCTAGAAGTCCTTTTTCTAAACATGCAAATCTCTCCCTCCTTTTTTCTTGGAATAGTGTATTTTCCAAGCCAATTAAATTTCTGAAGGGAAAATTCTAACAAATTGGTCGACAAATTATTTTGAAACGTTATATCCTTGTTCTAATTATAGAACTAATTGTTACAAATTTACCTGCTGGCAGAGGGCATCAATTAAGTTTACTTTTCGCTCAAACAACTCAAAGAAAATGAAGCTACGGCGCAATTGACACCAAAAATGTATTTATAATGTGAAGAGAATGATAGAAACCAGCTTATTTTGTACATATGTATATCTTATTTATTGTAACACCAACTTCCAAGAATATAGGTTTGTAATTAAGGGAGGAGAGAGATGTGAACTGATTTTGATCGATTCAAGTTACCTTTTTTAATCACACAGTAAATATTCTTAGACCTAATATTCCTTCTTACATAAAATATATACTTTAGCTGAAACGTTAAATAAAAATACTAATAAAATACCTAAAATGTTTATATACTTTTTAAGACTATATACCGTAATATATTATTATTAAATATATATGTCTTATATTTTCTCCCTGTGCATCCTCCACAAAAGAAACCTTGAACTAAACGACCTTCCATTTTTCATTTCCTATTTTGCAGCTTAAAGTGTCGACGACGCCGGCCAAAAGCCAGGACAAAGGACACACACACAGTCGGAGAACAGGTGCTTGTGACCTCCTGACCCGTGACCAGAGAGAGAGAGAGAGGAGAGACGAAGCGAACCGAGGACCGACAGTAAGCACCGCAGAATTGATGTCCGTGCGAAAGTTTGCCGGCAGCTGCTCAAATGTTATGCCAAGGACTCGACCATTGCGAATAAGGATCCTGCGCGGGGGCGTGAGACCAGGATTGGCCCACTAGATCCCAGCACCCAGCAAGGATGAGTGCAGCGGCAAGGCTGCTGCTCCGCCTGGAGCTACCATCGCCGGGAGTGATGCCACCACCGCCGACGGACTACGACTGGGGTCCCATCAGCGAAAGTGATTTCCTGGCCAGTGCCACGGCCACCGAGGTGGCCACTGTGCGCTATGATCTCCTGCCACAACAGAATCACACGGTACCCGAAGAGCACTTTGTATATAACTACACACATCCTGATTTACTATATCCTCACTACGATGACATGGGTCTGGACATGGATCCCAATTGGACACGAATCTGCGATGATCGATATAATCCCTTGTTGGAGGATAACAAAATAGAGTTCTGGGTATGCGGAGTTATCCTGAATATAGTGAGTGTCCTTGGCATACTCGGGAATATAATCTCCATGATAATCCTGTCGAGGCCACAGATGAGATCGAGTATTAATTATCTATTGATTGGATTGGCCCGCTGCGATACCCTGCTCATTGTGACTTCGATGCTGGTGTTTGGTATACCCGCCATATACCCCTATACAGGGTATACATTCTTCTACTACAACAACATATATCCGTTTATAGCGCCAGCGGTATTTCCCATTGGATTAATTGCTCAGACAGCCAGTATATATATGACTTTTACGGTGACTTTGGAGCGATATGTGGCCGTGTGTCATCCTTTAAAGGCGAGAGCTCTCTGTACCTATGGTCGTGCCAAGATATACTTCATCGTTTGTGTATGCTTTGCCGTGGCCTATAATATGATACGATTTTGGGAGGTGGTCACCATAAGCTATACAGATCCGGCCACAAATGTGGTATTCCATTGTGTGATACCCTCGAAAATGAGAAGATCAGAGGCATATATAAATATATACATACACTGGTGCTACCTGATTGTGAGCTATATAATACCCTTCCTTACGCTGGCCATTCTGAATTGTTTAATATACAGGCAGGTGAAGAGAGCGAATAGGGAGCGTCAGAGATTGTCGAGATCGGAGAGAAGGGAAATTGGTCTGGCCACCATGCTGCTATGTGTGGTGATAGTTTTCTTTATGCTAAACTTTCTGCCTTTAGTTTTGAATACTCTAGAGGCATTCTACAGCACAATAGATCACAACATCACCAAGATCTCGAATCTGATGATCACCATAAATAGCAGTGTCAACTTCTTGATCTACATCATCTTTGGGGAGAAATTCAAGCGCATTTTTTTACTCATTTTTTTCAAGCGCCGCCTGAGTCGTGACCAACCGGATCTTATCCATTACGAGAGCTCCATATCGAACAACGGCGATGGGACGCTGAATCATCGCTCTTCCGGCCGCTTTTCGAGGCACGGCACCCAGAGGAGCACCACCACAACATACCTGGTGGCCACCGGCGGCGGTGGAGGCGGACAAGGAGGCGGCCCCGGCAATTGCGGTGGTGGCAGTAATTCCCTTAACAATGTCCGTCTCACCCAGGTCTCGGGTTCACCGGGTCTTGTGAAGATCAAGCGGAACAGAGCACCATCACCGGGACCGGTGGTATATTTTCCTGCCCGCGAAATGCAAAGATCCGCCTCCACAAATGCCAATTCGGCCACCAATAATAATACCTCAATTGGTTATGATTGGACGCTGCCGGATAGCAAGAAGCTGGGACATGTCTCCTCGGGTTTCTGAGGGCAGGGGCTGGCTAGGGGTCAAGCGGAGGCAATGCGGCACTGGGAGGGGTTAGTCTAGTCAATATACTAATGTAAATAATAAAAAAAAATACAAGGAGTTCCAGCAAAGGGACTGTGGCCATATTAACCTGTACAGAAGGCATCAACTAAGCGCTCCAAGCGTTGCGTTACTTTGTGATAAGAGTTAAGTGTTTCCTTTCCCTACAAACAATTTCTCTAATACTCCACGATAAAAACACAAACTTTACTCCTTGATATAGCTGTTAAGAAGAAAAACCAAATTCAACTTCTTTAACGATCAAATCAGGCTGAAGACAACTAGTTTATTGAACTGAGATCTAAAGAATGTCTTTACAAAAAAAGAGTTTGAATTGACTTTGTATCAATTTCGCACTAAATTAGTCAGCGAAACTTTTCTGTAAAACCCAATACCGTTTCCACTTTCCACTGGCCTTTTGGGCCAAAAGTTTTATTTATTAGCGTAAACTTTGGCTGGCCTTTAATTAAATATCCTTTACAAAGCATTTCTACGCTGGCTTCCAAACTTGATGAATGATTTTTCCTTTTCTTTTGCTGATTTCCCAGCAACTTTTCAATATCTTCCCACCCGGAAATTGGTTCGCAAAAGAAGGGAAAGTTTAAAAATAAGAAGGCCGAACAATCTGTCAACTTGTCAGAAAGTTTTTAAAACGCCGCTCAAAGTTCAGTCAGCTCAAAAGTTTGCCAGCATTATTTAGTCCAGCCCTCAACTCAAGTAGCTCAATTTAACAGCCATTGCAGCCAATGATACAAAATAATAATAATAATAATACCAACAAAGGAAAAAGACATTTTCAGGTGTTCACACAAGAATTATTTGTACTGCTCCTAGTCCAAAAAAAAAAAAATAATAATAATCCCCGCGCTATTGTGTAAATACTTTTAAGAGTCTTTGTAAATATTTCTTAACTAGCCTGTATGCGAAGCATAAAACGAATCCCAAAGATAATGTAGAGTTCAATTGAGATTACTGAAAGTCCCGGCTTTGGAGATTCTAAATCAATGTTTAAGGGTCAGAAGAAAATGTATTAAAATTCAGAAAACGAAGGAAATATAAAAAGATTAAGAAATCCTAAAATAACCGCCTTTAATAATGATTTAAAATATGTTTTAGTTAAATAAATATCTTACAAACTATCTTATTGTTTTAAAACCTCATAAAATAAAATTGAAAACACCAAAACAAGACCTTTAAATCAATGATTTAGAATCCTAAATGCCTACCAAAGTTAAATAAATAAAATAAATTTAAACTAGATTTAGTATAGCTTTAAAAATGATATAGAAATTAGCAAATACGTAATCGAAAGTAATTAATAAATAAATTCAACGATTGTGCAAATAAATAATGATGATGAGAATTGTGAAATGCTTTTTATTTATACTTATATAGAACATGGCGGGGCCTTGCCTAATGTGCAAATAATTTAGCACATTTCTGGAGCTTGATTTGCATCGATTTTCAGATTTGAATTTTGTTTGTTTTTGCGCCACAACCAATTACCATTACGGGGCCGGACCATAATAGCCAAAGTTTACTAGCCAGACGCAGTTTGGAAAATGATAACGAGCACTTAACTTGGCCACTTGCAATTCAATTTGGGGAAAACCTCTATCTCTTGGTCCGGGTCCTGTCGGATAATTGCCAACGCAGTGTCAGGCCGATGCTTGAAATCTCGGTTGAGGGAAATCTAAGCCGTATTTTCATCGAGTGCACTGGGAAAATTAGGGTCTTAATAAGCTAGAAATAAATTTATAAAAATTTGTTTTTTTATTCTATAAGGTTTTTATTGTAGATTAAACTGAAAGCTATTCATATTTTAATTATTATTCTTTTAAGACGGGATATTCTCTGATTTTCTTATTTTTAAAAATTCCACAACGCAGTATTTAAAGCTTTAAACCTTACCTGGTCCCTTGGCTAATTTGTATAGTACATAAAATAATTTTTGTAGTGTGCCTGCGTGGGTGGGAGCAAGGTCCTTGCGCATTTGCGTATCTTATGCTAAGCACGTTGGCAGGATGTCGACTTTAGTCAAGACAGTCGAGAAGCCGGTAATAATGCCCGGGACCCACAAAGGAATTTAAATAATAATAACCATAACAATAAGATACAAACACACACGGGGAGAGTGTATGCGTGTGGGGTTGCTTAAAGGTTTTGGGAAAGGCAACCCCAAGGAGGTGCCAGGACACTCTCGTCCAGGTGGCAACCAGCCGAAGTGAATTACCGTCCGCACGTGAGCCCTAACCTAATAATGTGGATATACAGATTTCAGATAGCTGCAAATAATTGGAACAAAGAGGGAGCCAAACCAAAAGCAACAACCCATTAAAACTGGAATATTATTGCGTGTTTCCTGAAACTGTGACGCACACACAAAATTGTGTATTTGTGTGGGAGTAATGTTAAAATACATATATTATTTAAATGAAAACAAACCAGGCATTGCTAATTGGAAAAAATAGCCAGCTATCGAGCGAATATATTAATATACTCAATGGGAAGTAATTATCTTAAAGCTACAATTTGTTAAAGAATAATTAGAATAATTATTTTGTAATTTAAAAGAGAAAATTTTCTAATACGAGGAAACTAATTATTATTAAAAGCAAAAACTTTTTCAAAATTAAAGTATATTGTTTTGTTTTTTATTATTTACCTTTATGGACTTTTCAATATTTTGTATAATCTTATATTTATATATTTTATATTTACACCCTTGCAGGGTAATATAATTTTAATCAGAAGCATGAAACGCAGTGAAGGAATCATTTCCGAACATATAACGCATATATATTCTTGATCAGCATCAACAGACGAATCGATCTGGCTATCTTAAACAGAAAAAAAATTGAAAAATTTTTTTTTCCGAAATTACAACATTATTTACGTTACAAAAATTGGGAACAAAATTGAGCATTTTTACATTTTAAATTGAGTATGCAGATTTGTTAACCTAGTAAAAACTAGCACAGAACAGCTTTCCGAATTGAATTTCATGCATTTTTGGCTGAGCTATGAGTTTTTTTAAATTTGATTTGTCGCAAAATTTTTCGTATTAAAAAATACCAATAAAATCCATACCAATTATATTGTTTTTTTGTTTGAATTTATCTAGAAAATAATTCTGCATTACAAAATACTATATTTAAATACAATAATGAATAACAGAACATTAGCATACATTGGGAAAAGATAATACATTTCCAAACGATACAAGAGTATTAATATTTGGACTTCGAAATGACTGTTCCCATTTATTTTTAATACCCAAAACAGGGATTCTCATTTCAGTCAGAAGCTTAAAACACATCGAAGGAGTCATTTCCGACCCTATAAACCATATATATTCTTGATCAGCACAAAAACTGCGTCGATCTAGATGACTCCGGAAAAAAACTAAAAATTTTAAAATGTTGCCAATTTTACACAAGAAAAAATGCATTGTTAAAATATCCAAAAATTAGAACAAAATTTTATTTCTTTTCTTGTCTAACGAAGTATTCAGATTTGCACAGCACAGAACAGCTTTCCGAATTAAAATTAATGTATTTTTGTCTTAGTTATGAGTTTTAAAAAAACGAAATTGTGCGAAAAATTTTATAAGGGGTTACATCGTTAAAATATCCAAAAATTGGGAAAAATATTAATATTATTAGATTTGTTAACCTATTTAAAACTAACATTAGAAGGCTTTCCGATTTGAAATTAATGAATTTTTGGCATTTTACAATTTACAAATCCAATTTCCTTATCTCATTTTAAACTTTATTATTTGTTATGTATTTATAAATTATTTATTGTTTACATTTCCATAATAAAATCATAGCAATGACTTTGTTACAAATCTATTTTATTGTGTATTCTAAATATTTAAATGAATCTCTCAAAGAACTTGAGAGATTAAATCACACTTTCCCCCCTGAACACAGGTAATCACATAATTAGAGGTAGACATATCAGAGTTGCCTGGCCAACCTCATGAAATACTTTAATGCCTTCGGCTCAGCGATTTGAATCTCCTGTTGAGGAGGTGCCGAAAAACAAAAGCTAAGGACCTGGGCTGGGTGGGAAAGGACACTCTATTGTTCCGACAAAGAAGTGTCGGCAGGCCGGGTGATAATAAATCAGCAACGGATAATGTCAACAGCAAGGAATATCGCCGACATTGGGTAAATATTTTACTGATGACTTTGTTGGTGTCACCGTCCTAACAGTTTGATGCGTTTTTGATGCCTCAAGGATTATCGTTATTCTCTGGTTGCCTTGAAGTGTTGATGGTCCTTGGATTGCGAGTTCCTGACAAATGACAGGAGTTTTTTCTGGCGGCATCGATGACAAACTGGCGACCCTGTCATGCTATTTTGCTAATTAATTAGACGCCTTTGTCCGCAGCATCATCGAATCTATGTGTAGCGTCAAAAATTTAATTAATGTTGGCCATGTGATTCGCCGGAATTCACCAAGTTCCAAAAAGTTTTCTCCGCTCCGCAAGACAATGGCAAACAATGCCAAACAGTGTGCCGCGTAACAAGGAGCACTTGTTCTCCATTTAATACACAACTAAATTCCCCAGGCCCTACTTTATCCTGGCAATGACAATGACAATGACGAAGGGAGCCGAGGGCAACTCCTGACAGCTATCCACACCCGAGATCTGCAAGGGGAACAACACACAGGACCAAGTGAACCCAACCACGGAAATTTCAAGCTCATTTCTAGCATTTTTTTTCACTTCCGCTCTAGCACTTTTCCTTAGACTGAGAGAAAAGTGGTGAAATTATATAAATTTAATTAATATTAAATTCTTATAAAATAACTTAAATGTTAGTTGGTTAATTTTTGTTTGTTTCGCAATTATTTCTACAGAAAAAAGAGCAGTATTTTTAGGGTTAATAGTATCTCTTTTAATCTAAGAAAATATATTTTAAATAATTTAAATTGGTGTCCAATTTCTAAAATAAATAATAATAATAATAATAATACCATTTTGAATAACAAATATATCTATCTAGCTCTTTATTAAATACTTCTTGATAAAGGAACAAAATAGTTTACCTAACTTACAGCAAAAGAAATAACTTCTTCAAACAGACCAAAAACAAAGACATTTTTTGTTTTAAAATTGATAAATTAATATTAAAGTTATACACATTTTTTTGCTAAGCATTTTGTATGTAACCCAACCCCTCGTTCACTCGCATAATTAGTTTTGAACGCCGCTTAATTTCAGGACAACGCAATCTCATCCCCACACAGGATAGTTGACAATTGAAAGGGCAGATGCCGCAAACAGACAACAAATACAGCTTCCTGTAAACAAGGCTCAGCATTTCACATCCTCAATAAAAGAAAGTAAGCCACAAAAAATAACAATCGAATATAAATTGCAGATTTAATAAATGTGAATGTGCCGATATTGTTAAAGCTGTACCATAAAACATACTTAACAAATAAACAAATTTAAACTTGACATTCATTTAATAAGATTTATTATTCATACCAGCAAAAGTAGGGATATAAACCTATTATAAAATAACCATTAATTTAAAATTTAAAGGAATCTTTTCCCCTTTCTTTTAAACGTTCAGTCAAGGTTTCTAGAAGCGTCTTTTAAACTCCGATACTTAACTTTTATGGCTCATTTTACTGCAGTCCTAATGGACCGGCAAAGTAACCGAAAATCGTATATAAATAAAATACAGGCTCACCGCAACCCGAGCATTAAATACTAGAAAAACAGAGTGTGGAAATTATCAAATGGAACAACTGAAAAAATATATAATAGGAAATAAAAAAAAAAACACACATTATTTTCCCATTGACTCTCAAAGGACATCTGAAAACACAAAACAAACACAAATAGGCGAATATAAATAGACAATATTTACAAATTGTGACATTCAATAACTTTGGTACATGTTGAACTGACACCTATTGCGACCCCGAAGGACGCAGGACACGGGCAAAAGAATAAAAAAACAAAAAAGGAAAACAGCTTGCGAAAACAGAAACACACTTGGTGACGCCGCTAAGTATGCCACACGTTTTGTGGCCCATCTTTTTTTTATGCCTCTCAACAAATGTCTGGCGGCGGAAAAACCGTTTTAAACACATCAGAGGCGTGTCCATGGCAGCCATTCGAAATGCCTGTTTTTGGAAAAACTGCACTGGGGGAAATTATTTGAAAAAGGGTTTCTCTTTAGCTATAAATAATAATAATTATTCATTAAAATTTGATTGAAAACACTCTTACTCTCCCCTATTTCTTAATGGTTTTAACAATAGGCTACAAAATATATTGTTTTTCAGTTAAAATTAAGAATATCAATTAATATGAATTATATTTATATGGTTTTATTGTTTTTGGAATGAAAATAGTATTATAATTATTATTTTTATAAACAGGGCCTTAAACCTCTATTACTCTCCTTTTAAAATCACCACTGGTTTAAGTAATAACTTAAAGCTTTAAAAGTATTGTTTGTTATATATTCTTTTTGAAAAAAATCTTAGTAAATGTTTGTTAATGAGTAGTAAAAATCTATTGGAAGTATCCAAATTTACTTAGACCAAAAGCAACCACAAAATTTAACCACTCAATTATAAAATATTGTCGCCTCTCTCTTATTAAACTCTGCCCTAAAGATTTTATTAAACAAATTAAGCAAAAACCAATCAATATTAAATTTATGCTATCAAGATTAGATATAAGTTTCTTATATTTATATTTTTTCCCAGTGCTGGGGGACCAAAAGCAGCCGTCCCAAGCCACATCCGTTGGTCATGGTTGCCGCTGATGGCGATGAAGTGTCGACTCCACGGCGGCCACCCGCCTCTGACATTTGCTGTGGGAGAGAACTGGACTGCAAGTGTTCGACATTTGACAAGGGAACGAAACCCGACAATGCCACCAGATTTCTGTTTGTGGCTGACACTGGAAAGCAGGCCGCTTTAGTGTTATTGATTTTATGCAGGAATCGAGGAGGCAAATGCTAATTTACAATTTGTATGAGGCCACAGGCTGTTGTGGCACTATCGCAGAAACTCCAGCAAGTGGCCAAAACTGGGCAGATATGTATCCGGCACTCGGTCCATCTTTTGGGGGTCATTCTCGTCAATGATCTTGGCCACATCCTTCCGGCTATTGACCCCAGTGCCCACAAAGAGGGATTGAAAGCCACAGTTCTTGGCGAACAGAATGTCCGTTTGGAGTCTAGTTGGAAAGGATTAAATGGTAATAACTGCTTGATTAAGCTAGGTACAGATACTCACGTATCGCCCACCATTAAAGTACTCTTCGGCTCAATGAGACCCTTCAGCTTGTCCACCATCCAGGGATTGGGTTTCCCCATCACCAGCGGCATTCGTCCTGTAAAAGTCTTAATAGCTGCCACCATGGCACCGGCACCAACCATTACACGATTTTCGCAAATGGGATAGGCAGCATCCAAGCAGGTGCCCAGGAAGATCACCTTGGGATTCTGTAGATATGAGCCAGCACGCACCACTTTGGCCATGTTAAAGCATTCATCTCGACCCACCACCACCGCACCCACATCGGGATCCAACTTTAAATTCTTGACAAACTCCTGCATCGGTCTTTTCAACTTCTCATCCTCTTTAAAGCAACACAGACCTGCGTTCTCCAGCTCGTATTGAATCCCATACTCCCCCATGAAGAACACCTTTTTCTGGAACTTTTTGGCGGACAGAAAATGGGCACACGAGTATGCCGAGGTCAGGATACGATCTTTATCTACTTTCATGCCAAAATTAGAGGCCTTTTTGTGAAAGTCCGCCCTTGAGATTGCCGCATTATTGGTCACAATGAATATATTTCGACCAGAATTGCCCAGTTCGTTGAAGATATCCACAGCGCCCTCAATGGATTTGTCCAAGTGCCAAAGTACTCCGTCAGCATCACAGATCACCGATTTTATGGAATCTAGCCACAAGCGGACCTTGTCCTTTGGCAGTTTGGTGAGATCAGTGAAACTTTGCTTGAACATCTCTCTAGGAATATTGAACACTGATTTCTAGATCTAGATTTCTAGATCTAGATCTAGATTTCTAAAAAACTTGTAACGAAAATTTGGCTTAAGGATGAATGGAAGCTAGACCGAAGTCTAGGGGTTGATTTGGGATTAAGATTAAGATTAAGTTCTGGGAGAAGAATACGAAAAAGATGTAAACCAAAGGTTTGTCTTAAAAGCGTATTAAAACTGGATTAAAAATCATCCATCAAGATTGCCTTAAAGACCGCTTTAAGGACCTCTTTAAAGATTGTCCGAAAGACCGTCTTAAGAACAAATTAAGCAGCGGCGATTTAGCAGTCATAGGAGACTACAAAAGCTAGAGGTATACATCGCTTCACATTCTTTAAACTAAGAACCATCTTAATAATATAATAATTAAATAAATAACAAATAAATTAACCATTTAAACATAAAATTATAATTTCCAATAACCCTAGACTAAGCCACAAATACAATTTTACATTTACAGAATCAACTAGAGCATTATTTCATATAGTTAAACAGTAAACTTCTGAAGCAAATGACGCAGCTCCTCATTCTGGCGCCGCAGGAAGACAACCTCCTTATCATACTGTACTCGCGATTTAAGCACTTCCACATAATGATTCAAGCCATGCTCCAAAGTCTTCCACAACTTGCATTTGGCAGGCGGAAAACAGGCTGCAAACTGGCGCCAAAAATCACGAATCTCGCTGTCTGAGATCTTTATGAGATTCACCGCATGCATGTTGGTGCCAGGCACATGCTCATACATTTGCTTATGCATCTTCGAGGTGAACAAATTCATGGCATGCAGGCAGAGAGCAGGTTCCATGACCAGGTAGTGATTGTTGCACTTCTTGGCCATCTCCTCGCGTTTGTTTAGAAGCTTCTCTGGTATCTCCGATGAATAAGATTTATTCTCAGGTTGGCTGCTCAATAGCTTATGGGGCTTGGTGTCCTTCATAAACACCTCCGCACATTTCCTTGGACTTAATCCCTGTGGCTGACAGTTGGGACAATAGGTAAAGGGCATAAATACTTTAGTCAGCTCCTTGACATCCCGCAAATGTCGAATACGTAGTGCGGCAAATATATTATCTATGCGAACCAGGCACTTGTCTTCCTCGGAGTAGGGCTCCAGGATCTTTAGCAGGCGCTCCTCAATGAGGAAGCCACCACGATCGGATAGCTTTCGCATCAGATTACGCATCAGACGCAGTGAATCTGGTGGAAGATCTCTAATATCTGGACGTTGTTTGCCAGCACCAGAGGCTCCCTTTACCACTCGATTCTTGGGCACCCGCCCAATACGCATATCAAATTTCTCCAGGATACTCCGCTTCTTCTTGGGCTTGTTAATGTTCGGTATTGGGGGAACGGGACAAGTCCAGGGCAAGAACAATTGCTGCTCATGGATAATACGATCAATGTGATAGACACGTTCCACCAAAACATTCAGCTCCAAATAGTTAATCTCCCAAATGCTATCGAACTTATCGCGATTGTTAATCCGCGCCTGCAGAGCCTTCGATTCCATGTCGTTGATGTGGGCATGAAGCTTGTAGATTTCCGTGGAAAGCTTCGATATATTCCGCTGCCCGCTCTCGATGAGATTCTTATGAGCTTGCCTGGTCCGGGCTATAGTCTCGTGGAGACGGGCCACACGTCGCTTTTGCTGGTTATTGATCACCACATTCTCCTCATTGCGTTTTTGCATCACCTGGTAGTTATAGTCCATTTTCTCGGAATTCATTAAGGCATAGTCCCGTGTCCTTCGAAGCTCCAGTTCCAGACGCTCGCACTCCTTTTGCAGTCGGATGCGTGTGCTCTTGGTTAACTCCTCCTGGGTCTCGTTAATGTGATGTGTCTGAGCGGCATAGAATTGCTCGCGGGTCCGCACCAAGTTTGCCTTCTCCTCCAAGTTTGTATTCATGGCATCAAAATAGGAGCGCCACTTTTCCACCGCTCCGATGGCAAAGATCTCGCGCTCTTGTTCGATGGTGTGACTCAGCATCTCCAGATGTTGTTTGTAAGCCAACTTAAGGGTCTCCACCTGATGCTCCACTCGCTCCACCAGACAGGCTAGATCCTGGGCCTGAGCCTGTCGATCGAGCTCATACTTGGCATTCATACGATCCACCTCCTTCTGGCAAGTAGCAATCATTTCATCCTTGCGATCCATGATCTCAGAGAGGCGACGCTTCTGCTCCTCGATCTGATCCCACAGGACCATTGGTTCAGTGAACTCCTCCAACTCCGTCCAACGCGCCTTGATGTCACTGAAGCGAGCCAGAGTCTCTACGGTCTCACGTTGCAACTTGACCTGCACCTGGTTCCTTTGAGTCGCCTCGAACATACGGCGATTGAGTTCACGCCGCTCATTGGCCACTCGAACATTGGTCACCAACTCGTTGCCGAAGCGGATCAACTCCTCCAATCTCTCACTGGACATCTCCAACTGCTGGTCAATGGGTGACTTCTGGGCTTTGCATCTCTCCGCCACTCCCTTGGGTGCTTCTCGGAACTGCTGACGCACTTGGGTGATAATATCCAGACTGCGATCATCCAGTCTTCGCACAGTCTTGTCACAATGCTCGTTGTAGATTAAACCCTCGACACGCTCATCGAAGGACTCCCAGCTTTCGACTGGTCCAATGGGCTCCAGATCTGCGAAATCATCCTCCTCCTCCTCAAGGCTGCCATCGGTGAGGAGTCCGCCCTCAGGATGCTCGTCGTCGTCCTCGTTGTCATCCATGTTGGGAGTTGATAGATATTTTTGTAGGAATATAAATGCAGGATCAACAAATGCTGCGATGAGTTGGTGAATCGGTTGAGGAGTAGACTTAATTTGTGTTTGATTGAAGGATCACAGGTTGCTTTGATTGCAGTAGAAGCCACATTTCACCAGTTTAATTTATTTATCTTTTAAAAACTCTTGCTTAATAATATTTAAATGCGATTTAAACGATTTTGATTATATAAATTCTACCAAAATGTTATTCATAAGTTAATCATTTCTAGGGGAAAAAAATGGAAGCAGATTTGACAATTCGGGAACATAAATATAGGGAACTTGCTAATACATCGGATATAAGAATTCTTGGCCATGCCACGAAGTGTATTAAACGTCTCGGTAGCTCATAAGCTCCACTTTAGGGCCAGATTCAAGTTAAATTCCTATTGGAATATTGTCTTATCTTTACAAATTATTTTACAAAGCAATACAAGTCAGAGTGACCAATAATAAAAAAATAAATAAAAGTGTGACCATGATAGAATTGTTGTGACTAAATAAGGTATTTTTTAGAAAAGCAAGCCTGTTCACTATTAAGCAAATGTGCAAGTCACGTGACACGTGTCAAAGAAAGCTGCAAAGAAATTATATCAAGACGTAAAATGGAAAACGAAATGAATTCAACTCCTCCTCCTCTTGCAAACGTTGGATTGCACAGCAATCGTAGTGTAACTGAGATACGTAATCGCCGTTTCAAGGCGCCCAAAAAGCTGGTGACCTATTCCACAGAAGATGAGTTGTTTGTGCCGCGTCCACAGTTCAAAAAGAACCTCAAAGCTAACCAGGAAGTGAAGAAAGGAGACGAAGAGATGATGACCAATAACCTAGAGGGACCGAACTCCACATCCCTTACACCAAGGTTTGCCATCTATAAATTAATAATACAAAAATGTTTTAATATATAACCTTACCTAACCTAATTTTAGAAAAACAAACCTAGCCGAGGAGCAGAAAATGGAGGTGGAAGACGGTGAGAACTTGGTGTCCAATGATCCCATTGATCCGAGGTTTGTAATCCTTGAATAATTAAAAAAATGAACAATAATAATAATAGATACTTAGTTCATCCCAATTTGGCAGACTAAGGAACCTCCTGAAGGCGAACTCGGCGAAGAGGTGGCTATTGTGCGAGTTCGGTGACTTCGAGGACTCGTCGTCCAAGCTGGATTACGACTTGGGTAGCTTCATGGAGGAGTACTATCCACAGTTGAAGACTCGCTTCCTGCCCCGCCGTGGATGGCAGCTGATCCGCCGCAGTTTGGGCAAAGCTCGCCGCTTTTCGTCGGCCTTTATCGAAAGGGAACTTAAGGAAATGAGGGTTTCCCCCATCTTGGAGCCGGAGCAATACAATGCTAATTTTGTTCACAGCAACAAGCTACTGGAGTCCATTGTGTCGGTGAAGAAACTATTGGCCCTCAAGAAGAAGACTCTGTTGGAGATTGCCCTCAAGAATGAAGAGATTGCGGCTATCGAGGACTCCAGAACCTGGAGCACTTCCTATCAACGCGATACCAAGGCAATGTTTCAACGTTGCCTTTCAACCCTTTATCGTGTGAATGAAGATATTGTGGCACCGATGACTGTTCTTCACGAACACTTGTTGCAATGTCGCAATCAGGACATGGAGAAGGAAACAAGTGTTCCCACCGCCATCGAGATCTACATCAAATGTTTCAACAAGGCCGAGTTGGATCTTCAGGTAGCTCTGAGGAATAAATCCGTTACATCTTTCGACCGAGATTTGGTTCACGCTCTTCAAACCATTTTATATGTCACCGGTGAACTGGGAGGCCCGAACAGCGCCGAATTACTGGGCATCCTGGACAAACTCTTCTCGGATTTATTGGAAAGTCTTCCTCCGGATTTGTGTGCCCAACTTAAGCAGACGATGGAAGTATTGGAACCTTGCCGCAAACGTATAAATGAATTTTTCAAGATTGTTCCAAAGGAGGAACCAAAGGAGGATATCTAAAAGGATATCAGTCGCTTCGCACTGAGCTTGAGCCTATGAATATAGCTTTTAATTACCTGGAAATTAGTCTTGAAATATATATGTTATTCAAATAAAAAACTAATTGACTTTCGAATTGAAAGTTGTCCCATTAGAAATGCATTGTGTTCACCTTGAACTGAAGTTCCAGAATAGCACAAAAAACCACCGCATTGTGTCCATGGGCTTGGAACTAGATTAGTTTCCAGCACTTTTGGCTGGGGCCTGTCCGAATCAATTGAAAATTTTTGGTCCGCGTCTCTGAAACAACTCAGATTTGGTGGCAGGTTCCAGGGAGGCATCCCTAAGAGCGCGTGGCAATGTCATCGGCGACGCATTTAATTCACTAAACTTTGCACATTTGTTATTTGGCCAAAAGGAGGGACAAGGCAAGGCAAGGACCAAGTTGCGGTTCGGTGGCGTGGCAAACGTCGCGGACAACTTTTAATTGTGCGCAATGAGTGAAGGTCAAGTCAAGCGGCGAATACCGTTAGAGTTTTCCACCATTGACCACCCCTCAGTGCCCCTAGTAAGAATTTTCTCCATTTTCTGTGCCTGCAGACTGAGTTTTTCCCCAACCTCCCTGGGGAGCCACTTCTCTCGTTTGGGGACAAATTTTGGACCTGTCATTGGGAAACAGATAGAAAAAATATTCCCCTATTTGCAAAGGATTTTTCTTAGGCAAAAATATCAGTATTTAAGCAGAAATCCCTTAATTTGAAGCGTAAAAATTAAAAATATAAATAAACAAATATATTTTTATAATTTTCATATATTTCTTATAATTTAAAATATAATTTTCAGTGCAATTTTCCCACTTTGGGGCTGTCAGCTGTCTTGGGCCCATTGCGCCAATTAAAATGGCATTCGGCTTTATTGTTGACAACGCCTTGTCGCCTTTGGAAGAGCACCAGGCCTCCAAATCCGACACTTGGAATAGCTGAATCCTGATGGTAAGGCCAGAAAACCAGGACCAGATTCCGCCGCACCTTGACATAAATTCATTAAATCTCCCCTCCCGGCAGTTTAACGGACTTCTCTCGAGTTCTATGAGGAAGCCCGGCGGTCAAGAGGAATCCTCTTGTTTCCACTTCTCCTCGCAGGACTTGCCGACTTTAAAAAAGCAACGCAAATTGGCAAAAAAAAGGAGCTGAATTTGTTGCGGAGTTACCCGCGGGGGAGAATCAAAAGCTAACGAGCGAGTTTTCAGCAATTTCCCACCCGACCAATGGAAAAAAAGGAAAATTTCCACTCGCAAAGCCGGAAGTTTTATGAATGTAGTTAAATATTTGCACAAAAATGGATTCATTATTTAATATTTTAAAGTCAATAGCAATGAAATGTGTGTATTTGTTTAAGTGAGAAAATTAAGCAATTATCCTGAAAGAGAATTTAGTTTTAAACTGAAACTATGAGGGCTTCCCAGTCATGATTTAAAGGTGCCTTACATAGACATTCTGTAACTCTACTTTGCTTGTTGACTTTTAAAATATTCCAAGTTGTTTTGAAACTACAATTTTCCAGCCATTTTTAAACCAATTTTCGGTTAATTACTATGCAAAAAACCTGAGAAAAAAAAACCCTTTGAAATGTTGACCGCCTGGGCCAAATTGGTTTTACAAAAATGTTTATGCTTTTCCGCTTTTACCTGGGCAAGAGTTTTTGGAACAGGTGGGTAAAGTGGGCGATGCCTAAAGAGTGTACTCAATTTGCTCAAGTGGAAAACGCTTTGGGATTTTCCTACATTTGCCTAGGTCTCAATTTATTCGAGTATCGGGCTTAAATGTACACTGATGAATGCACTTTGCAGAGGGAAAACTCTGTGGGGAAAGGCAACAAAACGAAATTCCAATCGCCAGACATCGAGAGCAACAGTAAAAAATGAAATTTCAAGCGAAAAGTTTACTCAACTTTTCCTCACTTCTACTTAAACCAAAAAAAGAAGAAAAGAAAAGCGAAAACCGAACCGAACCGAGGGCAAGACCGAAGTCTGAAACTTTTTTATTAAGTTTACAAGGCCAAGTTAATTTCCCGGACCCTGGGGCCTTTGCCTGTTTTCCCTAATTAATACCACGAGACGAGAAATAAAAAAAAACAAAACAGAGATATATATATAATAAAAACAAATCCACTTGATTTATATGCTAATCAAGGCCACTGCGGCGACTAACACTTTAGGCCATCGACAGTTATTTAAATGAAATTAAAGTTTGTTCTTTCGTCTGCTGAAAAGTCCAGTAAGACACTCACAGAAAGGACCTGCAGGAGCAAGTTTAAATTATACGCTATCACCAAATAAATCATTCGAAGATAGCATCATCAGCTGGGTCACAAGGCGCAATTATTTGCCGAGAATGGATTGCCCCAGCCTGCTGTAACTGCCATTTCTATCGGCCTTCAGGGAAGGGTCAGTTTATTCGAGAACTCAACTGTATATTACCCTGTAAAAATACTAAAGAATTTATAATTTAATAGCATATTTTAACCCTACTTAAATTACTTAATGATTCTTTGCAAAGCCAAACTAAGATACTTTTTAAAATTAAAGTTACATAATCGTTCATTTACTTTTGTAGTATTCTTTCTTAAGTTATAGAGAATTATATATACCTACAAATTTTGTCTTTAAGTGTATTTAATATTTTTAAATACCTTTACAACTCAGAGAGGCTATATACCCCTCTAGAAACCCTCGATTTCGAACCCATTATAATCTCTCCTGAGTGGTGACTGATGGACAGGCTGTTCGTCTCGAAAGCCTTCTTGTTGCATTTCACCGGCTTACCAATGCTTAGCACAATTGAAACGTTTTGCTGTTTTACAAATAAGAACCAGGACTGAAAAAACCAGAGGGGAAATGAAAAATATAAGGCACATGCCGTTGCCAGGGGAGATTTCCATAAATGTGACAGACAATTATGTGCTCGTGCCTTTGAGTAGTTTAACCATTCACAGTGTATCAGTCTTCTCAGTCAGTCCATTCTCAGTTTCTATTCAAGGATTGAAATACGAAGCAGGATTCTTTTTTGCAGGCATGCAATGTGAAAGACGGAAATATATGTGACTGATGTCAGGGAAAAGATACTGCATATGCTTCAGCATGTCCTTAATTTTATTTTTCATTGCATTTGGAATTTAGCATTGCAAAGAAGCTTCAAAATGGTGAGGAATCGAATGATATTAAAAGTTTAAAGTTTAGTAATAAGCAAATCAAGCTTTAAATAATTGTATTATATACAATGTTTAATAGTATTAATATTCTCCTAATTTTCCTTAATTATACCCCTCTCTTTAGCCTCGTTTTCCATACATTTTTAATAGTATTACCTGCAGTTCTTCATTTAAAATCGAAACCCAAACTAAATGATAATATTTTCACCTTATTCAGCTGCACAATATGTTAATGCCAAAGCTTTGGTGGCTTCTGGTCGATATTGACCATGGCCCTGGCTCACGCTGCGTATGAGCAATGTCAAAGCCATAAGCAAAGCCTTGGGGCCTGTGGGGGCAATAAAGGACCATTGGCTTTGATTTCACAGTGCGTACATTAAACCAAATTACAACACATTATAATTTGTGTCAAAATCGTCCCTCGAAAATTCATTTGAGAGATTCAAGATTTGACAATCGAGGCAAACATGAAAATGTACAACGAGATGGAAAGCAATGAGAGAGCTGGTAGCTCGAGGCCAAAAGCATTTGGTAGTTGAATAAATAAGGACGACGAGAGATTGTGAAACCATCGACAAGGCCATCCAAATGTCCAGGATGAAATATTTGTCCAGTGCTTAAATTTTGTGTCTTACTAAGCAAAATTAAATGCCATTTTAGCAAAGATTTTGTTTGGGAAACAAAATAAACACAAAGTGGTTTTTGATTTTATGAATTAATTATGTGTGTTGTGGTTAGGAAATTGAAATGTTATAATATTTTATGAAGTAAATATGGGTTTTTGATTTAATAATTATTTTTTGAAATGATTTAAATCAAATTAAAATAGTTATTTGCACATTTCTTTCATGTTTTCTTTTAGTGGTTTTAGTAATTTATTTTTCATATTTTTTTAAACAAACCTAAAAGCTCTAGTAGCTATATTTTGCTGACATTTCCTGCACCAATTACCAATGGCAACACGTGTGTCACAACCCATTGGCTTGCCACAAAAAAAAAAATAAACTGAAAAGAAAAAACTTTGACTGAAAAGCCTGCTGCTGCATTGATGCCTTCTAATTGCTCTTCGGTTTTTTTGCTGTGGGTTTTCTATGTGAAAGCCCAGATTCCTGGCACACATGCACACACATACACTACATTCATGTGGAAAAGTTGAGAGAAAATCCCAGGCCAGGTTCAATGTAAAATATTTTCACATATCATCGATTCACACAGCTCAACGCTCAAAAATAAATAGTCGGACATATTTCAGGCATAATTAAGGCTGCGGCTCTCACATAACACGCAACGTCAATCATTGTAATTTATAACGCAAGCGAAAAGCGTAACCAAAACTTAAGCCATTATTTCCGCTTATTTTATGGAATGAAAGCCGCCGGCCACCGGCCTGTCCGTTTGTTTTCCCACCCCTCATTTTTCACCATTTTCATCCCAGCACTTTTCCGCCCTTTTCTCCACTGTTTGCAGTTACTTTTGGCGCTCTGGTTTTTTGTGTTTACTTTTGTTGTTATTCTTGCACATTTGCATTTCGTGTCCCGCTGACCCCGACTCCGTTTCTGTTTCCGGTTCACACACGAACTCATGCCACAAAATGTTGCCCATTTCATAAATCATTTGGCACACACATGTGTGGAGTACAAGGGGAAAAACTATTATTACAAATTGTTTAATGAAATTAAAGCTTGTTTTAAAATTTTTAAGGGTTTAGTAAATTGTTTTTAATATTGAAAATTCATTTATGAATTTGAGTGTAACTGTTTAAGTCCCTTAAATAATATTTAACATAATCTTATATTATATTCTTTCCTTACTCTAACTTCATTTGGGTTTTCCATTAATTCTCTATTCATTTACTTGACTTTAATT